GATACTGTGTGACAATATAATAACGTAATAATATATTGTAATAATATAATATACAGTATTATAAAAACATAATATATTATATTGTAATAATAAAAGACATTATGATAGATACAGTTTTACATATTTCTTGAATCATGTAATCCAATTCCAGGAACCAATTTCGCAGAATCATTTTTCTAATTAATTATTTAACATTGTTTCTAAAATTAGTTAACAAAAGAATCGTTTCAAAATTGTATTCTACAGTCCCTAAAAATCCATAAAATAGAATAATGAAACCAGTTACTATGGGATGATCAATTACTGTGCTTTTGGTTCGTTTTCGGGCATAATTTCATTTATATTTATCAAATAAGACATTAAATTGTTTCATTCAAGAATAAACAAAAAATTTTAATTTGCGTTATTCGATAATTATAAAAATGCCCGAAAACAACCCAAAGGCACAGCAATTGGTCACCCCACAGTAACCGGCTCCGCTATATTTGTATCACGCCAAATAATACATAAATAACAGTAGTATGAATTTTGTCCAGATTTCCACGGATTCGGACCATCGTGTAGCGTCGCCTCGATGTTTACACCGAACGGTCGTCTAGCTAAGGACGCCCCGTACGAGGTGGCCGCCGATTATCGGGCGCACCGGTGTCAGACGAACGATAAGTAGAATCGCGACAGTGTGAACAGGCCTGCCTTGTCGCCGGTGTCTGCGGAGGCCCGATCGCGCGCAGATTGCGGTGGTTTTGGCACGGATTCGGTGGCCGCGGCGCGCGCCGCCTCGCCGGCCTCTGTAAATCTCCGGTTCGCCGTCGAAAAACATAAATTGTCGGTCTCCCCGGCCGGCGGCGATAAAAAAACGAAGGAATAGCTCGTGGGGTGGATCGTATCGTGGCTGGAACGCAGAGAGAGAGAGGGAGAGAGAGAGAAGAGAAAGAGAGTGAGAGAGAAGAGAAAGAGAGTGAGAAAGAAGAAAAAGAGAGGGAGCGAGAGAAAGAGAGAGGGAGAGAGAGAAAGAGAAGAGAAAGAGAGAGTGAGAGAGAAGAAAAAGAGAGAGAGAGAAGAGAGTGAGAGAGAAGAAAAATAGAGAGAGAGAGAGAGAGAGAGAGAGAGAGAGAAGATAGCAGGAGAGAAGAGAGAGAGAGAGAGGAGTCGGAGAGAAGAGAGAGAGAGAGAGGAGTCGGAGAGATTCAGGAGACGGCCGTTGCACATGCGTCCCATGGCGTGACGGGAACACGCGAAATTAAATTAAGTCTGGCATAAAGTTCTGGATAACAAACGCCGGCCGGGCCCGATCGAACTTTTTCGGTAAATTATCTTGCCGGTGTTGTTTTTTTTGTTTACCGCGCCACCGGAATTTAGAACGCCGTCGGCCGCGTTATCGTCGATAGCACCGTGACCCAGGGAACATCCGGGAAAAATCGGGATTCCGCGCGTGGAGAACTCTAATCGTTATCGCACCCTGTAGCCCGGACTGGATTTTCCGCTATCAGCTTTTATCGGGGCATCGTCGATCCGGATAATAGAGATGGACAGCCGGGACAGACTGTGTCCGCAAATATTTCGATTCTTCGGAGGATGCTGTTGCAGTGCTAGACCAGTGTTCACAGAGAAATAAGTTACGCAAGGAGTGGGGTGGGCGACGCATGCGCCAGGAGTCCCGCAAGCGACATGGCACTGCGTTTACAGCGTGGCATGTATAATACTGTGTACTACTGTGTCTTGTACCGTTATTTCTATACAGAGTGTCCCAAAATTATGGTACTTTCGGGAAATGGGGAGTTCCTAAGATCATTTGAAGTAACTTTTTCCTTAGCAATATTGTAATCCGCGGCTTCGTTTAGGAGTTATTAACGAAAAACACTGACCAATCGTGGTCGCGTGGGCGGGGCGCCAGCCGTACGTGATTTCTCATTGGTCAGTGTTTTTCGTTAATAACTCGTAAACAAAACTGCGGATTGCATTTTCGCTGAGGCGAAACTTACTTCAAATGACCTCGGAAACCCCTCATTTCTCGGAAATACCATAATTTTAGGACACCCTGTATAGTTCTCACGCGAGAAGAAGACGCCTTTGTATTTACATTAACCATCTTACTATCTCCCCCACTGTCGCAGCGAGTAAGAAGGGGAATGTAAACATAAAGGTGCCTCACAGATCAGGAATGATACAAGGAACTAAAGAATACTAGGTGGTCATGGGTGGTAATTTAGGTGGTTTGTTTCATGTGGATCATCCTGTATATTATCTCCTCAAATATTATCTGTAGAGTGAGCGGACACTATCTTAAGTCTTCGGGTTATACGATAAGAAAATAATAGGAACGAAAAGTAAAAATGAACTGGCATTACCTGGACAAAAGCATAAGACAATAAAAGAAGATTGCTATTTTTTGTATCGTTAGCAATTTCAACAATTGTGAATAAAAAAATTAGAAATGCGTCAATGTGAAAACAAGCTGAGCGTCTCACACTTTCGGTAAGGAATTGTTCGTTCGTATTCGCATCTCTTTCTGGAAAGGTTCTTGCGGTGTAACAAAAAATCTTTCGATTACTGTATTTTATTTGTTTATTTGTGTTCATTTTGGAGACAGTGTGCGATATCCAATAATATCTAATAATATAATATCTAATAATCGAATAATAAGTGGCGGCCAAGTTCAAGAACAAAAACTAGTGGCGACCGAATTTTGAAAAATGGCATTGGCAAGTCCACGTCGACGAAAAGTCCCCAAAACGCAGATGTGCCACATTTATGCTGCCTTCGCTAGACTTAGAACTAACCCTGGTCTAACCTAATTTTGATAAATGATATCAGCAAGTCCACGACAAATCCCCCAAAACGCACGATTCAAACTGGTGTTCCCTTCGATCAGTCATCGGATGCTTTGGAAGGCAGTCGAAGAAAGCAAATGACACTGAAAGGTCTCGCCGATAGTTGATGGTCGCAACGCGTGCCACAAGGTCAGAAGCCGTGGCCTGACACGGCTTATTCAGTTTACGTGGCTATTAAAGCTACGGTGGCGCCGCCACAATGACTCATAGGCCAGTGAATCGCTTGTTTCTTGGCGATTACTGGCATGGATCTGATTGTTTGATTAACTGCACTTGTTGCGGATTTTTTGGTACACTAGGAACTCGATTGTCCGAACCTCTGGTGCCACAATTGTAAATTACACAAATACACTGATCACGAAAGTCTTTGAAACGTGATCTGTAACAGGAACATTGTTATAGTATTGGTAATAAAAATTATTATTAGATTGTCCCGAAAGTAATTTCGGTTTTCCAAATGGACAGCTTACAAAAAGACCGTTAACCGTTATTCAGTCATTGCTGCATTATCCGAACATTTATGCCACGTTATTCAAGTCGGATAACGGAGGCTCCACTGTATCCTTGGCTTATAGAAAATCAAAAAAGAAAAAAAATACAATTAGCGAGGTTTACTACAGCTTAAGCTGTTTTCTTGCCGTAGGAAAGCTTCTAAACTTTATTAATCTCTCTTGAGATTACCTCGGGAAAGAAAGTTCTGCCGGAGTTCGACCTTCTGCTAGTTCTTGCTGCGTCAGCTGACAAACAGATTGTAAATCTTCGTGAATTTATGTCCCGAGCTTTCAGGAAACGGTAAAGGAAAAATTAGTAGTTAGCAGCTTGAATCGGCGGACCTCGCGGTGGTCCAAGCAGACAGTAATCTCGAAATAATAATAGCTACAGCTTGTTCAAATTATCGATGAAAGAATGAAATTATTTCTCCAGCTAGTGATTCTTGATTCCTTAATTCATGGAATTAATTATATTATATTAATTATATATTATATTAGTATATTATAATATAATAATAAATTATATTATATTAGTTACATATTTATTAATTATATTATTATTCATATTAATTAATTATATTAATTTTCTTGAGGTCTTTCTTAAACGAGATTTGTCGGAATATAGTTTTCCAGAGGTTGGCACCGCTGAGGGATTTTCGATGTGGCGAACCATTTTGTCAACCAAAGTGGCCCAACCAACTTATCGATGAAAGAATGAAATTATTTTTCTAACTGGTGATTCTTGATTCCTTAATTCATGGAATTAATTGTATTATTATTCATATTAATAAATTATATTATATTAGTTATATTATTATTCATATTAATTAATTATATTATATTAATATTCTTGAGGTCTTTCTTATACGAGATTTGTCGGAATATAATTTTCTAGAAGTTGGCACCTGTGAGTGATTTCCGATGTGCCATTTTGTCCACTAAATCTCAATTGTTCTTTTTACAGTTTACTTTTTGCAAACAGTAATATTTCAGTTTACGATAGAAACATTTCTTTCATTGTAATATTCGTAAAATGACGTATAGAATTGGTGATCTGCAGCAAGATCTCCAATTATCTCTAATTTCAACGAGAAGGTTGCACGGTAAGCCGATAGGTAGCATTTATGGCGTTTCGAGCGACCGAACCGGGCAGCAAAGATTCGGAACGTCCGCGTCGATGGAGCACAAAACTGTCGTCGAAGTTTTAATCTGTGCTGCCTTTGATCTCGACGCTCGTACACAAACATGTTGACAGATAGCAGTAGTTTTATCAAAATTAAATAACACTCGGCCGGGATTACGTAATTTTTCATGGGGGTCGCAACAAAATCGCGCTCGCTTTTGACACGGATTTCGAAAACGGACAAATCCGATGACGTAGAAAAATCTGCTGGCGAAGTAAATACGAACTTCGCGACATAGACGATATCGCGAAACAACAACGAAAAATACGCACGCGATGCAATGGCGATGATCCGGCATCGATTCTCTTTTTTTTTTTTTAACGAACGTAATCGACTCGACACGCGCGCGCTATCGTTCATGGCGGAAAGAAAATAAATTATCTTGCACGTGTTTCTGGTACGTAGCCGATACTTCTTCGAACGATTAATCGATACTCGATCGATTTTCCTACATGGAACTTCGGCGGACGCTTTATTATCGAACAAAACGTTCAGCAACAACGGTTGCCTTGAGATATGTACAAATTGTTTCCGTTCTATTAACCCTAGCAACGCGGTGGCCGGGTCTATGTCGACCCGGTGAATGTATTTAAGTCGTTCATTTAATTACTCAATTATTATAGCAATTAAATAAAATAAATTGCAGTTACATTGGGAACAACAGAAAGTCTGACGAGAAAATATGTTTTGAGAAATTGATAAACAAAGCTCAGAATTGTTAGAAACATCGTAAATAATACAGTTGTAAAAATGTCCCGCCGTACGAGCGTTGAGAGCGAAGGAGCGCTAATCGACGCAGTTATGATAGAGCAAGAGGAGCAAGAGGTTATGATCGCAGTTGATTTTCATATCCGAGCGAAATTCTTTGTTTTCCTTGTAAATCTGACATGCTACAACTGTATCGAATATGTTCGCGCGATAATGCATGCGGTGTAAAGCACGGAGCGTGTTTTAATCTTATCGCACTGTTACGTGTCGGCCGTTAAATTCACGGATACACAATATCGTTCCGGATACACACTGAGAATATCCGACAGTGTCTTCTTGACACTAGTAAAACCAATCACGGCCGAAGCGACAGATTCCTTGTTCTACAATACCACAAACTTCAGGGGACATTCTTGAATAAATTATTAGCAGTGAGTTTTACAACAAAACTTTACATAACCTACATGAATTCGATCTTCTCGCTTTTATGAGTCAGTGAATGTACCTGTCACTGTCACCGCTTGGTAGGTTTAGCTTTAAAACAAAATACGTGTTTCAATTTGTATGCATTGTAATGTTGGTCGAATGACAATGCAAACTCGCATAAGTAAATGATTTTCACACCTTTATTTTTGGAAGTCCCAACGAAGTCTCCACAAGTATTATCCGCATAAATGTCGACGGGACTCAAATTAAAAGGCAATCTTAAGGACTGCATTTTGGCCAACTTTTTGGGAGATGATAGGTATCACTGTGCGTCCGGCTCATTGATCATCGTCACAACACTAATCGTCCTACTAGCGGACCCCGATCAGCTGCCGATTTTTGCCACCAGGAGCCGCTAGTCCGTTCTACTAGTCCACCCGAAAGAACAGAGAAATTTCCAAAACTGTTTTGGATTCAGAACATTCTAATAACTGTTTCAGTAACAAGTGGTAGGAGTTAATTGTTGTTTTAAAAGAAAGGTAAATACTTTATGTTTTCAAATGTGATCAAAAACCGAATATAGTACTCCGCCGGACTCGTAATTAAAATATGAAACAACGATGGAACATATTGAATCATTGCCTTGACATCATTTCATTTCAGTACATACTATAAGTAGATGAAATCCTGTCACACCCATTTCTAGACCGCGGATTTTTATGGAAAATAAAAATGGTCTAACAAAGTTGATTAGAGAAAATTTAAGTCAGATAAAAATGTCTTTTCTCGTTAGAAGAATTTTGTACAAAAATGACAGTAAAATACGAAACTTTAGAGACGTTAAAAGAATGTGTCACTACTTAAATAAAGACGTACTTGAATAAGATATTACTTTAACAATTGTTACATAACACAAGAATATTCTGAAATTCTTTTAACGTTTCTAAAGTTTCGTATTTGACCCAGTCATTTTTGTAAAAAAATTCATAAAATCCGCAGTCTGTTGTCACTTAATTGGACGTCAATTTTTGTCACTAGGCGCCGCTAGTTCGTTCTACCACTATAACATGTCGATTTTTGCCATCAGGCGTCGCATGGTGGAGCTTTTATCTCTAAAATGCGACATTCTATTGTAAACATTCTATTTTTGGCTCGGATTATACATTTATCTCTCACTGTTTTGTTTTATAGCATTATTACACATACACAGATACATAGGAATGAGAGGAAACTAGACGATCCACGCTGATTCTCAGACTGACTGGCGGCTTTGTTTTTCGTGAATACCTCAGCTCAGGTGCGCTAAGCGGGAAAGTTAGAGAGAGCGAGAGAGAGAGAGAGAGAGGGGGGAGAGAGAGAGAGAAAGCAAGATAGAGAGGGAGAGAGAGAGAGAAGCGGAGAGAGCAGTGGTGCGCAACCGTTGGGCCGTGTGCGGCCTGTTATGCGGTCCACGCACGGAATGCGGCTCGTTACGTTGCACTGTGCGGTCTCGCGTGCCGCTTGCGGTCCACCGCGCCCAATTGTGCGGCTTGCGGTCCCTTACGCGAACCTCGGACATTTAAGCCTTCTCCGGAATTTTGCGTTTCCGCGGGACTCGACGAGCTTCTTCTCGCTTCAGTGTCCTCCGCTGGAACGACGGACTTTGCGAAAATCGTCGGACACTCCATCAAGCTGCATAATGATCTGTCGCGCAGTGGTACCGACCGCGATTCTAGTTGGCCAAAAGTCGAAGCATTAGGTGTGAATTCGATTAATAGTTTTACATGTTACTAAATCCACGATGTTAAATGGAAAGGACGACCTAATAATATTATATCATCAATATGGATATTTATTTACAATTATCAGCATTGGATTGCGGATTCTGTGCATATTTGATATAAATTATTCCATGAAATTCCAAGTAAAATACTCTATGCTCTAGCCTCAACAGGTTGTATGTATAATCTCGATTTAAATGACTCACAGTCGGTTCAAAAATACATAATCACTATACTGCGGATAATAATTGCAAGGAACATAAGCCTCATTTAATAATTTATTCTAATAAAATTTAATAATTGTCCTCTTTTAGTAATTTCAGTAAGATGTATTTAATATAAAAATATCCTCAAATTCATCCCATGTCTTCACAATTTTGTGCGTTTTTGGTCTAGTCATTTTTCTCAAAAATGCATAAAATCCGCAGCGTCTAATAATCAAAAATATTGGTCTTCTATATACAATTCAATATATGTACAGCAGAAACTGCCGAGAATCGGTGCCTAGATCAGATCTAATTTGCAGCTGACAGTCAATGAACGTCATTAGCAGCGCCGGCAATGCTCTGTTTCTACAAGACGCGCGATTGCTGAATCAGAACCAGAGTATTCATAGCCTATGTCCTTGGTAATACATTGCTCTCAATATGTACATTCTTGGTATTCATAATCTATGTTCTTAGTATTACACTCTTCTTAACACGCGAACCAGCAAGTCCTAAACGAGATTAATGTATATTATTTTATAACAATGACAAGATTGGATTTAAGCTTCCTACGATCCTTATTATAATACAGGCTGTTCGAAAATTATGTTAACTCCCGGAAAGGGGTGATTTCTGAGGACATTTGAAGTAACTTTTTCCTCAGCGAAAATGCAATCCACGGCTTCGTTTACGAGTTATTAATGAAAAACACTGACTAATGTGAGATCGCGTATGACTGATGCTCCGCCCAAGCGACCACTGCCGTTGCGGCGAACGCTCCACCCACGCGACCACCGCCGCTGTGTGAGACGGCCGGCGCGACGCGCCATTGGCGTAAAGGCGGAGCGCTGGCCGCACTCGCTCTCCGATTGGTCAACGTTTTTCGTCAATAACTCGTAAACGAAACCTCGGATTGAATTTTCGCTAGGGAAAAAGTTCCTTCAAATGACTTCAGGAAACCCTTCCCGGGTATTAACATAATTATGGGACACCCTGTACATGCTGGAATGAAGAAGATCTTAGAAAATTCTCTGACAACATTTTTATAGCACCAGGAACTGTAAAAGAAAAAATCAGAAGCCAGGTCATTTTGACTGGTTTGATAGCTCTGGTGTTAATATATTCTCGGTATTGGTAGCTAATGTTCTTGTACCCATATTTCTTAGCCTCCTATTTCTCTTACCACATTCTCGGTATTCATACCCTGTCCTAATATTTTTCCAGTAAAAGAGCAATCGAGATATAAGCTCCCACGTTTCCCAGCGGTTTCACGGTCGTAGCTCAATTAGCCATTATCTCGTTGAGCCATTAGCTCACCTCCGTGGTAACAATCGAATCGAATGGACGGTTGCTGGTTAAACTTGGGGGACCCTCGGAACGACTGTTCCTTTTTTTTCGAAGGGCTCTTCGTACCAGCTGAATACCTCTAAACGGCCGCAAGAACGGTTAATCGGAAGGGAGGGGAGGGAGAGAGGGAGGGTGGGACTGTTAATTAGAACCTGACCCTCGGCTAGGGTGAGATTAATGTGTGGACAGCGTTTAAAAAGTTCTCCGTGCGAAGGATCCCCTAACTCTTGCCGGAAGGTTATCGTGGCCGCGGGCGTGCGTGATCCTTGAACGAGCATCCTTCGTCCTGGCTCCGTCNATCCACGGCTTCGTTTACGAGTTATTAATGAAAAACACTGACTAATGTGAGATCGCGTATGACTGATGCTCCGCCCAAGCGACCACTGCCGTTGCGGCGAACGCTCCACCCACGCGACCACCGCCGCTGTGTGAGACGGCCGGCGCGACGCGCCATTGGCGTAAAGGCGGAGCGCTGGCCGCACTCGCTCTCCGATTGGTCAACGTTTTTCGTCAATAACTCGTAAACGAAACCTCGGATTGAATTTTCGCTAGGGAAAAAGTTCCTTCAAATGACTTCAGGAAACCCTTCCCGGGTATTAACATAATTATGGGACACCCTGTACATGCTGGAATGAAGAAGATCTTAGAAAATTCTCTGACAACATTTTTATAGCACCAGGAACTGTAAAAGAAAAAATCAGAAGCCAGGTCATTTTGACTGGTTTGATAGCTCTGGTGTTAATATATTCTCGGTATTGGTAGCTAATGTTCTTGTACCCATATTTCTTAGCCTCCTATTTCTCTTACCACATTCTCGGTATTCATACCCTGTCCTAATATTTTTCCAGTAAAAGAGCAATCGAGATATAAGCTCCCACGTTTCCCAGCGGTTTCACGGTCGTAGCTCAATTAGCCATTATCTCGTTGAGCCATTAGCTCACCTCCGTGGTAACAATCGAATCGAATGGACGGTTGCTGGTTAAACTTGGGGGACCCTCGGAACGACTGTTCCTTTTTTTTCGAAGGGCTCTTCGTACCAGCTGAATACCTCTAAACGGCCGCAAGAACGGTTAATCGGAAGGGAGGGGAGGGAGAGAGGGAGGGTGGGACTGTTAATTAGAACCTGACCCTCGGCTAGGGTGAGATTAATGTGTGGACAGCGTTTAAAAAGTTCTCCGTGCGAAGGATCCCCTAACTCTTGCCGGAAGGTTATCGTGGCCGCGGGCGTGCGTGATCCTTGAACGAGCATCCTTCGTCCTGGCTCCGTCGAAATCTAATTTAAACTCGGCTGTCCCTCGATACGATCTTGTCCGGGGCCACGGCCCGGGACGGGACGGGACGATTACAAAAATGGCGGTAAACGAGGGTGAACGAAAAAAAAGACGAGAAAAATTCGTCAGCGGGACCGTGAAGGCGTGCTCCTTAACGAGCCAACTATTACGTTGATTAGGTCGCAGCGGGACAGCAATTATCCCTCGGTACATGTTTGAGATATAAATGACTCCTTTAGATTAATATGTCGCGAGATTAATGACCCTCGGAGGGTGGGGATGATCGATAATGTTAGGGCGGTTGTCCATCTGAGAGTAAAACCCTCGACAGTCGTTCCACAGTCTCGTATTCGTGGGACCCGCCAGGCCCCCACCCCTCGCCGCGTCATGTCTAGCTGCGCTACGGTGTCTTGCGGCTCGCGTCGCACTGGAGCCACTGTCATGGCGGGTGTCCATCCGAGAGTAGAACTCTCGACAGTCGCTCCACAGTCTCGTATCCACAGGACCCGCCACGCCCCCCACTCTTCGCCGCGTCTTGCCTAGCTGTGCTGCGGTGTCTCGCGGCTCGCGTTGCACTGGAGTCACTGTCATGGAGGGCGTCCATGCGAGAGTAGAACTCTCGACAGTCGTTTTACAGTCTCGTATCCACGGGACCCGCCACGCCCCCCACTCTTCTCCGCGTCTTGCCTAGTTGCGCTGCGGTGTCTCGCGGCTCGCGTCGCACTGGAGCCACTGTCAGGCTAGGTATTCGTACTAATGCAGTGGCTCTAGTAAGATTGTAGTCTCGAGACTAGGCAGCACAGCTG